CCCCCCACACACACACACTCTAGGGATGCTGCCCTCCGCCCCAGATCTGGGGCTGATGTCCCTCCGGTTCTGGGGCTGCTGCCCTCCTCCCAACTCCGGGGCTGATGTCTCAAAATTGGTTCCCCAGAGCCCCAATTGGACCCCGAGAACCCTAGCTGAGCCACTAATTAGCTTTTAGTAGCGCCTGATTATAGGCATTTGCTGGACTCTTCTGTTAAGCGTGTCACATAAACTGCAACGACAAGATCCTTTCCCTATGATAACAAAAAAAGTACTAGCTATGTTAATTTCTTCAAGTAATATATAAGGGTATGTCTAGACTTCATGGAGCCGTCGACAGAGCCATGTAGATGAGGTTTCTAGACATAGGGAAATGAAGTGGCGTTTTAAATAATCGCCGCTTCATTTACATCAAAATGGCTGCCGTGCTGTGTCGATCAGCTGTTTGGCGGCACAGCGCGGTAGTCTGGACACTCCACAGTCGACAAGAGAAGCCCTTGTTGACTGTCCCGTTATGCCTCGTGGAATGAGGTTTACCAGGACGGTCGACCGCAGAGCGCTGTGCCGCCAAACAGCTGATCGGCACATCACAGTGGCCATTTTGATGTAAATGAAGCGGCGATTATTTAACTCGCCGCTTCATTTCCCTTTTTCGAGTACACTAATCTGCATGGCTCCGTCGACGGAGCCATGTAGTTTAGACGTACCCTGCGAGAAAAGTATTTCCAATAAAATATGCTATGTTAATGTCATTGACATAATTCATTCATCACACCTTTTGCTGTATTTTCCCCGGACGCTGGGTATTTCTGCTAGTAATTACTAAAATAAACGATGTCTAACATCCCTCACCTTGCTTTAGGGTAGGAGAAGAAGAAGCTGCCTGCCTTTGATGGTCCTACCTCTTACTGTTTAGGATCAGGGCAGGGACTCCAGACTGTGGCACAGTAGCGTTGACCCGATCCTATTTAGCTGTCCTAGCAAGACTCTAGTGCGTGTGCGCAGCACGGAGAGAGGTTCCAGGAATTCTGCATTTGCCACATGGCTAACGTCCCTGTCTCCGCAGGCTCCAGTTCCATCTTGAAGGAGGCACTTTGAGATACAATGGCCACGGCTCAGCGCTCGCACACTGGGAAGAAGCAGAAACCCGCCAAGGTACAGAACACAAGACTTCACGTTCCTGATCAACAGGCCGAGCAGCAGAGTTGTTGACTCACATCCCACGACTTGAACTCGAGTCCGACTTCAGTCGCCTAGGTGACTCGACTCAAGACGCGACTCGGGTTCATTGTTTGTGACTTGAGACTCGACTTGAGACTTGTCGATTTTCTTAAATCGACTTGGTGAAAACATTGTTCGAAAACCCCGATATTGATGGCTTGGACAAAAGTGACTTGACATTTTTAAAATTAAGACTTGAAACTCGACTTGGGACTTGACTCGAAAGTGACTTTAGGGTCTCGAGACTCGACTTGAGACTTGAACAGCAGTGACTTGAGACTCGACTTGCAACTTGACCTGAAAGTGACTTTAGGGACTCGAGACTCGACTTGAGATTTGTCAATATTGTTAAATCGACTCGGTGAAAAAATTGTCCAAAAATGCCGATATTGATGGCTTCTACAAAAGTGATGTGACATTTTTAAAATTAAGACTTGAAACTCGACTTGGGACTTGACTCGAAAGTGACTTTAGGGTCTCATGACTCGACCTGAGACTTGAATGGTAGTGACTTGAGACTCGACTTGCAACTTGACTTGAAAGTGACTTTAAGGACTCGAGACTTGACTTGAGAGTTGAACGGTAGTGACTTGAGACTCGACTTGCAACTTGACTCGAAAGCGACTTTAGGGTCTCAAGACTCGACTTGAGACTTGAACGGTAGTGACTTGAGACTCGACTTGCAACTTGACTCGAAAGTGACTTTAGGGACTCGAGACTCGACTTGAGACTTGTAAATTTTGTTAAATCGACTCGGTGAAAAAATTGTCCAAAAATGCCGATAATGATGGCTTCTACAAAAGTGACGTAACATTTTTAAAATTAAGACTTGAAACTCGACTAAGTGACTTTAGGGTCTCGAGACTCGACTTGAGACTTGAACGGTAGTGACTTGAGACTCGACTTGGACTTGACAATGACGACTTGAAGACAACACTGCCGAGCAGTACTTAGTCGTGCAGCGCTGGAAACCCGATGTTGATTATCTTTCCCGTTCCTCGTTCCCAGAGCAAGAACATACACAGAGTCCTAGGAATGGAAAATTATAGGAGCACTTTGCGCTGACTAACCAAAACTCCACTTTCTTCTAGAAACCAGACCTGCGTGCAACCTCAGGCACAGCCGAAAGCAAGGAAAAAAGGCAGTTCAGTTCTGTCTTTATGTGACAGGGATGCATTGTAGAGGTCGATAAAATCATGACTGGTGTGGAAAAAGTGAAGAAAGAAACGTTATTTAGTTATTCCCACAATACAAGAACCGGGGTCACCAAAAGAAATGAACAGGCAGCAGATTTCAAACAAACCAAAAGAAGTTTTTCTTCACTCAGCGCACAGCCAACCTGTGGAACTCCTCGCTAGAGGATGTGCTGATGGCCAGGACTTCGCCTCCATAGAATCATAGAATACTAGGACTGGAAGGGACCTCGAGAGGTCATCGAGTCCAGTCCCCTGTCCCCATGGCAGGACCAAATACTGTCTAGACCATCCCTGATAGACATTTATCTAACCTACTCTTAAATATCTCCACAACCTCCCTGGCTAATTTATTCCAGCGTTTAACCACACTGACAGTTAGGAACCTTTTCCTAATGTCCAACCTCAACCTTCCTTGCTGCAGTTTAAACCCATTGCTTCTTGTTCTATCCTCAGAGGCCAGGAAGAACAAGTTTTCTCCCTCCTCCTTATGACACCCTTTTAGATACCTGAAAACGGCTCTCATGTCCCCTCTCAATCTTCACTTTTCCAAACTAAACAAACCCAATTCTTTCAGCCTTCCTTCATAGGTCATGTTCTCTAGACCTTTCACCATTCTTGTTGCTCTATCTAGCTCTTTTTAGAGTCCTGGTCTTAACAACATCCTCTGGCGAGGAGTTCCACAGGTTGACTGTGCTGAGTAAAGAAAAACTTCCTTTGGTTTCTTTCAGACCTGCTGCCTACACACTATGGAGACCAGCAGAAAGGATAAAAGGACCCTAATTTGCTCCCGCTAAACTTTTTTTGCCTCTGTCTTTTTTCCAGGAGTCGCTGTTGTTTCCCCCGAAAATTGCCACGGAGCAGCAGTCTCTGGTGCTGGTGAAAAGGCTTCTGGCCGTCTCAGTCTCCTGTATAACCTACCTAAGAGGGCTTTTTCCAGAGAGCTCGTATGGCACTCGCTATCTAGACGGTAATGTTTCCAGTGCCTGCTACTTTCACGTTCTTGTGCATTATATTTGTCTGGCATAAATCAGTCCAAGTCTGTGCGCATATTGGCCAGTTCAGTCTTTTGCTGGAAGATTGCTGACAGGCTGTGTCTACACTGGGCCACTTATTCCGGAAAAGCAGCCGCTTTTCCGGAATAAGCTGCGAGCTGTCTACACTGGTCCCTTGAATTTCCGGAAAAGCAGTGACGTTTTACTGTAAGAAATCAGCTGTTTTTCTGGAAAAACTATGCTGCTCCCACTCGGGCAAAAGTCCTTTTTCCGGAAAACTGTTCTGGAAAAGGACCAGTGTAGACAGCACAGTAGTCTTTTCCGGAAAAAAGCCCTGATGGCGAAAATGACGATCGGGGCTTTTTTCCGGAAAAGCGCGTCTACATTGGCCACAGACGCTTTTGCGGAAAAAGGGCTTTTCCGGAAAAGCATTCTGCCAATGTAGAGACGCTTTTCCGGAAATACTTATAACGGAAAAACTGTTCCGTTTTAAGCATTTCCGGAAAAGGGTGCCAGTGTAGACGTAGCCACAGTGTCTAACTCCTATTGCCAACGATGGGTGAAATCAATGGGATCCCCTTTACCCCAACCATTGTTGGGTTTTTTTGCTCAACAAAAAATCCTCGGTGTTCTGAGGCATCAAAAAAATTATTGTTTGGTGTTCCTCAGTCTTAAAAAGTTTAAGAAACACGGATGCAGCCGTCAGCTGGGTTTTTTGGAATGTTTGTTTTGTTTTCCGCTTGCATTCATGATCGCCAATCACAAGCATGCCGAAACCTTGTGTGAGACCCCCCCCAAAAAAATCGCGAACCCAGCATAAAAATCATTCGATTTTGAAAAACAATAAAAGTCGAGGGGCATTGTGTCAGGGCTGACCGCCAGTTACCCCTGCTTACTTATCGCAGACAGTTGGGTAGAGCCAGTGATGAGCCGGTTTTAATCGGTGATGAGCTGGATATAGGTCTCCTTAGCAACATAAACGAGTTTTGAGATAATTAGGCTCACTGTCATACTACAGCCGGTCTCCGACTTACAACTACCTCCACTCACGACCATCCACACTTATAACCAAAGCAGTCATAGATGCGGTCCTCGTATTACAAATGCGATCTGCGCTTATGAACAGCGCGGTCGCCATGTAACTCAATGGGATCCGAGTTACGAACACTTCTAGTTACGACCAGGTGTTTAGTCCGTAACTCGTTAGTAACTCCAGGACCGGCTGTATCTGATTCACATTCCTAACCTCCATGAATCTATCTAGCTCTTTCTTGAGTCCTGGTCTTAACAACATCCTCTGGCAAGGAGTTCCACAGGTTGACTGCTGAGTAAAGAAAAACTTCCCTTTGTTTCTTTTAAACCTACTGCCTACACACTATGGAGACCAACAGAAAGGGTAAAAGGACCCTACTTGCTCCCACTTTCGAAAAAAGGCCATTTTTTTCGAAAAAAAAAACCCCTGTAGTCTAAGACACAGCCCCGGTGGCGACTCCCTCCAGCTGAAATGCGAGATCGCGTCCATTCAGTGTGGATGCTCTCTTTCGAAAAAGCAGATTGCTTCTGCAGTGTGGACGCTCTCTTTTAAAAGAAGATTTTTCGGAAGCTCTCTTCCGGAAAAGCTTCTTCTGAAAGAAGTCTGCAGTGGGCAGACTTGAAAGCTGCTGGTGGGAAGTACGAGAAGAAACGGAGAAAGGGGATCAAGAGGAAGGAAGACGACAGAAAGACTAACACGGCATTTCTCAGAGGCTAAACGAAGTCACGCTCAATCAAGCCGTCACTCTCGGGCTTTCTCTTAGAAGCGGAAAGTTCGGCACAAATCTTTGGCATTGTAAATTTCGGCGGGGCGTCTGTGTCAGCTCTCCTGGGATACTGTTAAAACCAATTTTCCAGCTCAGGAAGTGGATCCGGATAAAATACTTCTTCGTACAACCACCACTGACTCGGCTTCTGGGTTTGCCCAGTGGCTCCGGTACGTTTTGTAACGATCTGCTCGCTCTTGTTTTGCAGACCTCTGTCTGAAAATCCTTCGGGAAGATAAGAGCTGCCTAGGGTCACTGCAGATCGTCAAGTGGTAAGTAACGGCAGGGCTTGCCTGCGTGAACCGTTAGATCACGACCAGAGATGTAGCGAGGGTGTTATGCGCCTGGGGGCAAAGACAAAATTTGTACCCCCCTCCGCTGCCCCGATCCTGGCGCACAGCTGAGCCCGGCCGTGGAAGAAAGGGGGAAACTTTTACCACATCTTTCCCCGCCCCCACCAGTTTGGGGCTGGGCCCCCGCATACACTAACCCCCCGCAGGGGTGGCCCATGGCTATAGGCCGACTTGGTCGTCGCCGAGGGTGCTGCTTTCAACGGCGCCCGATGATGACGTCACGGGGTGCCCGATGATGACGTCGCCTCATTGACGGCCGTGTAGGTGGGGGCTCCAATCGCACATTCTGCCTAGGGCACCAGCTGCCGCAGCCCGCCTCAGACCGCTCCTGCACCCCCAGGGGAGATGGAGGAGAGGACGGCTCGAGGGAGAGG